TGTAAATTGATCCACACTGTTTTGGAAAACTTAAACAACGAAATTCTATGCCTATATTCATCCCATCTGCTAGTAAGACAATATGCATGGATAATGTATTTTAAGACAACTAAGAAGGTCCCCTTTGCTTCATTTTCATACTGGCCAGCCCATAATTATGTTGCTGAAATTGTTGCTATTTAGAGAAGTTTGTTTTCATAATGATTGTAGCTTACATATAATCCAATCTTAAACGAACAGAAAATCATGCAATGTAAAAAAGGGAGAGGAGAAAAAACAAACATGTTAAAAGGGACATATATTTCACATATCTCACCATAACTCCAACGAAGCTGATGCAGATACATCTCCTCATGTGAAAGCTATACACCAATTGGTGCGGCTGACTCCCAAGGAAATCCTTGACGTCATGGCTAGCAATATCTCTTCGGTGGTGTACTCCCATGTACATTCAGGTCTACAAGAAAATAAAACCTTGACCTTCTTATAACTGAACTTATAACTTAAATTTCTGTAAATAAGATTAAATCTATGGATTGAAACATTACATCATGAGCAGACATGTATATAAAATCATTAACTTAGGATATTATACAATGCATGTATTGAAAATATTGATAAACTATATAAGTATGTGAAATATTTCAATTAAACCACCTTGCATGAAACTTATAAGGCTTTTGTTGTTCGTTAGAAGAACGGATAAGAAGCAATACCTGCTAACTCTAATAGTGCTAAGTTAACTCCCTTCTTATATTATGATTAAGTGCTATCAAATCGATAGGAAGTGTATGTTTGGAATACCCAACTATGTAACATTCAAAACATAGAGGTAATAAAGAAAAGATTTATGGCACAGTGAATCAACTTTGACAAGACTGAAAAAGTAACACCGGTTCTTAAGGTCTCACTGGACAGTTTATCTGGTGAATTTTTGTTCAACAATGACCTATTGCACAAACACGAGAATATTATTACACTGAAGATGCAAATAAATACAAACTAATGATTTTTGTAGAAAGCATGCATGTGGTATTTTGACTGCAAAATTAGGTTAATTTCTTATATAACTGATGGCTCTTATACTGAACCAACTTGCCTCCAACCCCTCTTTTTATATTCATTTATGACAGAAAAGAGTTATTTTGAATATTTTCCTGAGGCAAGGCGGCCAAAAGAATTAATATGTGCCTTATGTATGAATTAAGTTCATTAGTACTATAACAAATTGTCCTGTTCGTCACCCCTCAATCATCCCAATTTTTAGATATTTACCTGTGTAGCAGACATACGTAAATAGCCAAGTGGGCTAGTCATTTAGGCTTTTGATATATAGTGCTAGTCCCAAACAAGCCAACCCATTTTCAAGCCTAAATCAAAGTAAAATTTAAACCACATTGCAGATGTAGCTTCTGTGTGAATTTATAAATGCTAGGCTTATGATAATTAGGTTCATGCATTCTACTTTAAAAATTTGGGAGGTATCAAAATACGAAACTGTCCAGTGAGACCTCAGGTTATAAAGAGTCTTTATTACCGCGATTTCAGTCCGTAAAGGAACACACATGATTCAGCGTCGACCAATTACCGACATTTTTCACTGATTCGGAATCATCTCTACGGATACCTCAATACGAGCTGACATTTATTGAAAACTGATGCGGGGAAGGAATTCTTGGACAATTACACCTTATTCCCGATTGCATTTCAACAACAGGGAAGCTCATTTAGTTGTCGCTTAAGGAAATCAAATTTGTGCTAATAAATACGTCTGTATCAAGTTATGCATACGGATCATGGCTCCCATCAACAGGCTTAATTCAACTTTATCGGCACCTATTAAATTGGTATTGGTCGTATCAAGCTTAAATACAGAAATAGTGTGATAGGATAGACATCATTTATATGAGTTACGTATAGCTTTGGTGGCCTCTTCCTTATCATCGGATTTTCCATATCCTAACCACAGATTTTGGTTTAAGCATGCTGACATTAGATTTTGTAAGATATATACGGTAAAGGAATGTTGAGATGATTATCTTATCGAAGTTAATACTTAGAATTAGAATTCCTTGTTATACGCTTCCATCAGAATGGCAAAAATTAAGTCTACGACACAGAGTTTCCAACTTAATAATATCCTAAAAGGTATACATTATTAGAGGTCAATCGACATGTCAGGTCCAATGACAACAGTTGATAAAGATTTTCTGGTAACGTTCAACTATTACTAACAATGCTCTTTAATGACATTTAGAAAATAACCGTTATGACTTTGCGTATGTCAGTGATGTGCAAAATCTGCATTGATTCTACCATCACACCCACAGGATCAATCAACAAAGACACCAACTACCGTCACCAAGATTATTACCTTTATGAGTGTCAAAGAAAAGAAGAGACTGTACGATGCTGTACGTTCTTATGTGCGTGCGTGAAGTAGTGCATGCGCTCATTCCTTTGTAACGCCATACAACTTCTTGTACACCATTCAAAGTCGAGACCTTTGAAAGCGAAAAAAACATTGTATATATCAACTGTAAATCAAATCTGTTAAGACTTCGTTATGTAATGTTTGCCAATATCTCCCTATGTATCTACATAATAAATGTTTACATGTAAGTTTCATTTGTTTATTCACATGTGATTACTTTCAAGGTATGTATGGCACATCCTGGCGAAGCACTGCTTTTATATGACCTAACAGATTATGGAAGTCGATGTCATCAGTTCTTTTACTGTTTTCCCAAAAGAATGTGGACACATGGTTTTTCAGTGAAACAATTTGATGTCTGTTTAGTTACAAATTCAGCCTTCACGGCACACCCTGGAGGAATCAATTACTTCTAAAATTCTCTGACATTATTCCATCTAAGGTATCGTCATAATATATTCGGATATGTAAGTTACTGTTGTGACGAATCAGTGGGAAAATGCATGTTTACATGAAGATATAGAAAAATCAAAGCAAACGTATTATATGTGTATTTGTGTGTGCGTGTGTGTTTGTGCGTTAAGTCATATCGATACGATGCCTGCAGTGTAGCATTCTATAGTGAAGTCTAGCACTGGGAAATCATGCCGCAGACACGCAGAATAATGTCTCACCTAGTGACATTATCCTAACACCATGCCGACTAGTCTTAGCACTAGCATCTTAATGTCGATCTCATAACAAAAGAGCTGCTTGTTCCATTTAATAAGACTTTGATCTAAGTCGGCCAGGTTTCGAACCCACGTTCTACTGGCTACAGCGGCGGACGCTGCAACCACAAACCAACGGAACAATGCAAAGGTATTCTTCTGTCGTTTAAATAGGCTGTTAATATCGCCGGAAGGCTCCACGAAATGTTATCTCAGTGACAGTTTGAAACGTACTGATTGAAATACCTGGTCCCTGTGTTTATTGACTGTTATATAACAACACCTTACTCAATTCTTCGATCTCGGAAATCACTGACTATTCTAAATCATGGTCTCGTTCTTTGTTGGCTTGGCAGTCTTTTCGGATTCATCTCCTTTTAGATTTAATTCCAGTGCAATGACATTTAAATATTTCATTTAGAACAAAATCTCACTATATGTAGTGGGTTTTGTCACTTGACGTGAAAGGATTTAAACTGATCCAGCTATGCGGCATTTTATTCTATGATTAGATGTACTGCATATGGAGATTGTATATTTTAAAATTAAAAAATGTAACAAAAAGCAAATATTTTAAGATGCGTTGCTTACTAAATGTTTGCATTATAAATATATATATATATATATATATATATATATATATATATATATATATATATATATATATATATATATATATATATATATATATATATAATTCTTAGAACTGAACCAATGCTCATGTACAAAACACAAGCAGCAACATCTTTAAGTCTTTAAGACAAATTAGTTTAATTAATTTGTTATAGATGTGCATGGGTTTACTAGCAAAGAATTTGATATTTCGTTGACCTAATGCTGTCAATCTATATATTTCTTGTTATGTTTTTTTTAGGTGGGGGTAACTCTTAATTTTGGGCTAGCCAGTTTGAGTAGCAATAATTGTGCCAAGATGGCTTTAACAATGTTTATATAGGCATGCCTGTTAGAGCACAGATAATATTGTACTATCTAACGCCTATATGTACGCTGTAGATTGTTTAGGTTGGCATGATAGCTCGACGGCAGACGTGATTTATTTTTCTCAGTCAATTCCAGCGTAAATTTATGTAGAGTATACAAAAATGAGATGTCATGTTACGGGTGACCAAGTAGTAACACAGACAGAAGATATATTTCTTAGACTGAATAAGGTCCTAATTTTCTATTAGGAATAAACATCAAAACATAAGTGTACAGACTCCGAATGAATGGATATTGTTACTAGCATCATCGTCATTGTCGCGAAGTGTACTATACCAATTGTTTGACTCTAGCTGTATATAGAGAAGACGTAAATAAATAATTTTACTGGTTTATACGACATCGTATTCACCAATGCAAACTGCAAATTTAACTGCTGGTCGCCATTAAAATACGCTATGAAATCACTACATCTCAGCGGTACGAATTATAGCAAATCAACCAATTGCATGACGTCTTATGAAGCAAAGAAAACAGTATATCTTGATGAATATTATTGTAATGTGTATGCCAGATGTCAAAGGCAGAAAGGCTTTTGTCTGCGTTGGATAAAACTAAAAGACTGTGTGTGTGTGTGTGTGTGTGTGTGTGTGTGTGTGTGTGTGTGTGTGTGTGTGTGTGATTTGGATTTTTAACGTATTTTTCACTATTGTTCAGTCACATCGCTACGATGAAGGGAGTGTGACAATTTATAATGATGTTTAATACTGGGGTATCATGCCGCAGACGTGTAGCATTATCTCCCACCCTGTCACATTATCTTGACACCAGGCCGGCCATCCATAACACTAACCTCTTAATGCTGAGCGCTAAGTGAAGACGTTGCAAGTGCCATTTTTTACAAGACTTTGTTATGACTCGGCCCGGGTTTGAACCCGCGACCTCCCGCATCAAAATCGGACGCTCTAACTACTAGGCCACCAGAGTGGTTGGGATATAGTGTTGTGATCAAAGAGGATGCCAGTTCTTTAATGCAGTAAGCTTGTGTTCGTAAATGAATTCACTGAATTTTGTTTTACAAAATTTACGCGTGTACTGTGTCCCTTGCGATGGATGCCCCTATCATACTAATCGAATAAAAGAAATGTTGGTAGAAATGTATACTTTCTTTACTGTACTGATAACTAGTAGAATTCTTAGAAAAAAAATGTTTAGTTCATGTTGAAGAAAGTTGTTCAGAGTAGTATTTTATGAAAAGCGTTTCCCTTGTTATTACTTGGAGATTGGTAACCAAGATGCAAACTGAAACACTAACGAAATCACACAAATGGTGAGAACGAAACGTGTCTCGGAAAATCGAAAATGGACAGCAAAATCACTAAGTTTCCAATGTACGCTGTACTACTTTTACTGATGATATTCTAAAATCTTTAAAAATGTAATTATTGGCGTTTGCGTGCACCTTAAATGTTTCATTTTACAATTTTCAGTTTGAGTAATATGTTAACCTTGTGGGAGAATATGGTTTTTTGCTTCTATGACGCGGTATCAACAAGGGAGTTCTACTCGAGTAAGGACGTGTGATATAATGGAGAGTTGGTTACACCTTATTCTTAAGAAACTTAATTTAGGCGAAATTAGTTTTGAAACTGATTTGAAATTAGTTTATAATCTTGCAGCTGTGTTTACCCATTCCATTCCGGCCTTACTATATTCGTGTTACCGGCACAATAAACTTAAATGAAAGATGGCTTTATAGATCCATTGCGATTTCTCGTGCTTTAACGCAAATTGTCTAGCCGTTTCAATTTTGCCAAAACGACTCTAATACCACCTCCATGTATTTCTTCACAGTTTAAACTTTTTTCTACTGCTTGTAGCCGCTTTAGGAAAAGATGTCTTGACGTCATAACGGATAAATACAGACAATATTTATATCCAAAAAAATGTATTTCCTCCTATCATGACTTTACATTTTACGACTTTATATTTTACGACTTTATATTTCAATTGTGAAATCAATTGGTATGTGAATCCCCAAAGATTTTTATTGCAAGCAAATTTTAAGTGGTCGTGAAAATTATGATAGATCATTATCATGTTGGATAAGAGTTTAAAGGTTTTAACTAATGTTTGTCAATAATACAAACATCTTCTTTTTGTTATAAATATTTAATAGTATTGTGTGATTGGCCCTTATCCATCATTGAGGGTCAAATAGACCACTGCAATTTCTTAAACACGTTTACTTTGGTTTGAGTTCTAAACACAGCCTTGATTCCACTCTTTAAATGATTCTAGGAACTAATGGGAATTTTATACTTTGGGGTAATGTGCCATTCTAATGAAGGAGTTTTCTCGAAAAAGGTTATTGCTACATAGGTAAAGAGGGATGTATATGAAGATGTTTTAAATATGTATTCCTATTGTAACAAATCTTTTGTGTAATAAATTTTGGTTGTGCTTAGTTAATATTTAAATGTATTTATTTATTTAAATTATTCATTGGAATACCAAAGTTTTCATTGTTACTTTTGGACTAAATCACTATTTTGGGCGTATTCATTCATGGACATTCTGGATCATATCATTGTGATACATCAAGCTTGTTAGCACATCAGATATTTAAAACTATTAACTCATCAACACATTCAAGACTGGAATTCATTCGGATCATCACTGGAATTCATTCAGGATCCTCTATATTTTTGGGCATGTGACAGAGCTTTTACGACTGTTTGGGATTTACGTCATAATATAGTTTAGTTCCTCTGACGTTTCCGTTTTGTTTCCTAGGAAATAAGTTATTTGTTGAATTTTGTTAGACAGTTTTGATTTCGATCTTTTGCGCTAGATAGCTTAAGACCATAAAGTGGTAACAATTTTGATAACTATATAAACAATAAATCGTAAAATCAAAGCAACCTTGTCTTGTTCATTTTCGTGGATATTATAAAAACGACTAATATTTATAGTACGTTGAAAATCTGGAAGCCTCGTCGTCCGTTCGGTAATTGATAGACACGGTACAAACATACGATACAGTATTATTTTGTAATGCCATGTTTAGGGGTACTATACAAAATAAGGATAACCACTGTTCCTTTAAGTGAATCCACAAATGTCCTTATATATGTAGCATTAAACATAAATTTAAATTCATTCCATATTTTAAGTATGATGAGTTATTTGAATTTTACCCAGACTACCTCAGCTAAATATGTTAAAAAAATAATCTGAAACATTAACAGCAGACATTTTTCCTAAGATTCATCGAGACTAGACTACCGCTGACGCACATGAATGTGATATTTTCTGCTCGAGTTGGACATTCATGCCATACCTCAACATTTGGAATCGATATAAACTGCTATACAAACAACTGACATACATAAATGAGCAGAATTATTGATGAAGCTTCTTCCAAACCAATGACTACTGATAACATTTTTTCCGTATCATCAGCTTCTCTCTTTCTATTTCTTCTGTCATTAAATCAGAAAGTTTACATTCATAATTTATACAAACTATTACAAGTCAAGTTCTAATGACATATTGACAGTAACGCGATCTTGACTACGATATCGGTTGAGTTGTTGGCATTATAAACGCGATATTATTACGAGACGCTAATCTGGATTTTCTGGTGCTAACAAGACATGATCTAGCAATAAAGATGGAATTACTAATGGTGATTATTTTATGTCAAATATCTATCAATCTTCAGATAAATTAACAGAATCAAAGAATATAGCTGAAAACAAAAGAAATTGCTCAAAGTTTCAACCCTTATTTTGACATGAACATCATTTTAAGTCATGGTAGCAACACATACACGCATTTATATTGTTTTACAGGTATTGTATAGTCGTCAAAATTTGCATCACGGAAAATATCAACCGTGTAAGCCGGGAAGTCGGTGAATGGCTGATATAAATGGACATATATCTGGCGGTATTTTGTGAGAGGTCCCGATGGGGACCTGGTATAGAAATGACATTTATTTGGACTGTTATTTAAAAAAAAATTGAACAGATAGATTATTGCAACTTGATGATACAGATTTGTTAAAAAGAATGTTAATCATTTTCATTTGTAAAGCTGCTCACAGTTGGACATTTGAGACCAAGAGCTCTCGACTTCACAAAAGTTCCAGCTTCATTTGAGGGTATGGTAACACAGGACCAGAACATGACAGTATCTTTTTCGTACTTTTGGAATTTGACGGTAAAATTCTGACTCACTCTTGGGTACAGAATTTACAGGTATAACATAAAATAAAAACATCTTTTCTCTGTATTACCGTTACGTATACAATTATGTTAATCTGAAAATTATTTTAAAAAAAAAAAAGAAATAACATCGCAAGTCATGTATAAAATACTGGTATTTATAATACTTATTTACAATTTCATATGCATGATTTTCTTTTGCGTTAAATTTCTGCACCTGAAATTTTGAAATCATCGGAAACAAAATATTTCCTAAGCACATCGCATCCACGAAGGAGAGTCCTGGAAACGTGTAAAAAACAAACTTGAGCATAAATATTTGAAGCTCTTTTATAATTCTTTATCTTTTATTTCCCAATTGATATCCTTCGATTGAGTCACCTAACAAAATGGAATTAGAAAAGGACTTACTTGGATGACAAATATTCTCATTAAAACATCCCTAGTAGTAAAACAACGAAAAGCCGAAAGATCTTCAAAATTAATTTCCAGATATAACACGTATAATAACCACACCGTCTGCTGACCTTAATGCAGAGTTTAAGTTCATAATTTCCCTTCTAATGTTAAAATCCCCACCAGTTGACCAATCATATCAAACTATATTTGACCATCTATCTTTGTTGATTTTGCATGCATTTGTTAATACAAATTATAATATTATTAATATATATATATATATATATATATATATATATATATATATATATATATATATATATATATATATATATATATATATATAACGTCTTAATGCTGAGCGCCAAACGAAGCAGCTGTTATGGCCATTTTAAAAGTATTTGGCATGACTCAGACGGTGATCGAACCTATGACCTCCCGCATCTGAGACGGACGTTCTAATCACAAGGCCACCGGATCAACTGATTATTGTTTTCACGGTTCATCAATATGTTTCTCAGTTTGTCAATTAGTCCGCTGCCTGACCAACCCTAAAAGGGAGACAAAATGAGAGAGGGAGATAGGCATACCAACATTTTAATACAGTGGGTTGTTGTCTTTCTTTCTAAAGAATAGGCGTTAAATAGAATAAAGTTTTTGTTTACTATACAGGTTCTAAAGTACACTGTATCCTTTGTAATCGGAACACTGTAGATAAATACCATAGTGTACAGATATAATTTCAATGACCCATTTCTTGCAAATTACTTTGGGTATGTTCAAGACCCTCGTTAAGCTCAAATTCTTTATCTCAAACACTACACCAATTTTAGAGTAGTTTTTATGAAATTGTGTACAATTTTTAATTCATTTAGACATGGGGTTGTTAATATTTTCTTTTCATTACTTTCTTATGTCAATTATGATTAATATGCGTAAAATTCATCACTGATCACGAGAGTATGGATATAGTAACCTGCTGATGAGACCATATATATCGGTGTGTCTGGGCGCCGCTCTCGCGTGTTACTTTTCCTGTCTCCAGGACACAATTTAATATTGTCTGTGTTTAATAGGATAGTTTTATCAATCATAATGTTCCGAATGTTTGCTTCTGTTTTATTTCTAGTGACCAGATGTGTCTCAGAGGAAGACTTGGGTTACCTAGTCTGAATTGCGAAGACTTAATATTCCATTATTCTACTTGTCACAATCGCCCGGGAAAATACATTTATGTTATTTAAGGTTATGGAACCGCGCGATCATGTCGCACCCTCGGTAATAACAGTAATAATCCGTCAAACAAATGCAAAGAAACTTCGCGCTGTCATGACCCCCTCGGTACTTTTGGAGGATT